ATGAAAAAAAAACAGTTTGGGTTGCGGCGGATGCGCGTGTCGTTTTTATATTTTGTCTTAGACCAAAAATACACGGAAAACATATTCTCGTGAATATACAATATCAAACGTGTACATACGACCGAGGCAATAACAATAACGATTAATTGGGGCCCAAAGAAACGGAGAGTGTGGAAAAAAACAAGACCGACTGATAACGGAAGTCGTCCGGACGGATTAACTTTTTCCTGCGGCCACTGTTTAGTCCTTTGTCGGCGTTTCGCGCTAACCACTCGGATTATGACGAACGTGACGATTTTCTGTCGGCTCGAGCCTTTGAAAAAAAAAGCCAAAAACAAAATTAGTCAATCCACACACACACACACGTGTTCGCATTGGCCGCGCAACGGTCTCGATGACACCGTTATTGCTGTCACGCCGAACCGTCTTCGAGACGGTGATTCAATAACCCTCTTCTTAAGTGTCATAATAGCTAATTACCAACGTTTACGGGCGAAAAAAACATAAATACACATCAAACGAGGCACACGCGTGTGAATTGGGGATTAAAAACCGCATTTCGCGTTCGAATAAAATCATTATAACGGTCGACAAACTTGAAACACATACACACACACACACACAACTAGCATTAAATCTGACAATAAGAACAGCATCTGTTTGAAAATCGCATCTCCACACGGTCGTAACTAAACGTTGTTAATTCGTGTTGGCTACAGTCTCAAATCGCAACGTGTGTTTAATAAGGTTCGTGGGCGATCGTGAACACTGTCGAGTCCAATTTTAGCAAAAATTTGAATTTAACCGTTTTAGATTAAATTTGTTTTTAAATCCAAAAATTGTAGTTTGGATAATTTCAATAATGGTATATTATGATGTTTATAGTTATTCGTTTTCGTTTACATAGCAGTGAAAATAATCATAAAATATTGCGTTAAAAAAAAAATGTTTAATTACATTTTTTACAATATTTTTCAATATTGTCAACATTTTTTAACATTACGTATATTTTTCAATTTTTGACAAAAAAAAAATACACCAATAAACGTTTAAATAATATTTTCTAAAAATTATACACATACAAATGTGCTAACATAGCTTTGAAAATAATTGTTATAACACTAAACATTTTTTTTACGTTAAACAGACATATTTTCAACTATCGTGTTAAAAATAATTAATTTTCTGTGTTTATATTAAAACGCTACTAACAAAATGTTTAATGAATATTCAATTTTTTTAGTGATTTATTACTTACAGTTATTACTTATTATAGCTTTGCTTATTTTTTTGTAAAAATATAATAAGTATTAAGTATAAATAGTCTCTTAATTATAGTTAGTATATATTATTAGTGCCGCCTGAGCGTGCCTGTGAACTATTTCACTCACGACGTTCGTGTAAGTTATGTTGCCTATCCTTTTTTTTAAAGTAGGTCAATAATTATAACAATAAAACATTTATCGAGAACATAAAACGTTCAAACATTACTGCTTATTGATAGATTTATATATGCTGTTCGATTAAAAACAAAATAAATTAATTGTGATATAAAATAATTATAGCGTAACAGCTTTTGTAACAGGCCTTTAAACGCATTCAAATTTGGCATGAAGACACGTCTAATTTGGGACCACGGCAAATTTCATAGACAATATATTATATTATTATACGGTCGCTTTTAGTTTTAGATGATTAATCAGACTAAGAGTATACAACCTAATAGTATTAAACGAATATTAGTCAAATCCAACAATCTATAATGCAAGTAGTGTTTTTGGTTTTCATATAATTAAGAATCGGCTCAAATGTACATTTAAAGCATATATTAAGTTTAAGTTAACACTAATCTAAATTAGTTTTCATAGACAGAAGCGGTTTATTTTACAGAAAGGCGTTCTCAAGTATCTAAAGTTTTACACAACTGTTATTTTGAATTTAGTTGGGGTTTTGACAGTCAATATCGTTTTGGTCAACACCAAATTATTGGTGGTATAAAAATGTGAAGTACAATTTTTTTTATAAAAAGTATTTTTAGGTCGTGAGATTAAAATTGTTGTATTTAATTTATACTTATAACCTCAATCCGACTGATTTTTAATACAGTTCATTGATAATATGTTTACGGTCTGTAACAAAACAAATTATATAAAAATAACTACTCGGTTTGATATGTACGACAAAAGATACTATGTCCATGGATGTATAGAATGGTGAAATTAAGTCTAAAATGTAAAAAGTGCTCTATTAATGTCCATTGCGGTAGAAACTCGTTTCGCGCAATTATTGAAAAACGATTAATGCCTGTTTGTACTCTCTACCGCTTTTTTTGTGTAACAGTTATTGTGATACTGGTAGATGGTTAAAAAAAAATGCCCAAAGGTATTAAGTGGCGGAAAAAAAAGATTCAAAATCGTCATGGCATAATATAAATCGTCGTTCGCGGTCTACTATATTACTGCGGTTAACTGTATTATAATGTACTTATATTATAATATATATATATATATACCTACCTATGTATTATTATATTCTGTATCATCTGGTGTATTGTGTTGAATTATTTAATAGGACCAATCAAATTAATACGGTCGGTTAAAAAAACACCGAGGGTGGCTTATACTGGATAAAAGCGAGGGTAGGGGGATGGCAGGAGCAGGGTGACCCATTATTCGGAACAGTTGCGATGTTGCGGCTTGACGGCTTTATGCGGTCCGTTGTTTGTTTAGCGCGACCGTCTTGTTTATCTTGTATTTCCACCCCTTCTGTTCACCGGGGTACGGCCCACCCTCGGCACCGTCCTTGGCCCCCTTCGCCCTTGCCTTGGATCACTGGCGGTCTATAATCCGCCGCACCCCGTCGTCAGTATTAGTCGATAACGTAGCACAATGGCCGCGATCGACAATACATGGGTAGAGGTACTAAATATTACAGCAATTATTCCAAAAAAAAAACTACTACCAAGGTGTTAATTACTAAAAAAAAGTTGTTGAGTAAGTAAAGACACCAATATACAGTTATAAACTGATAATTATCAGTAAAGTGTATACTGAACACCGACTTAAACACAGCAAATTAAACATATTAATAATTTATTTGATTTGAAACTACTAGAAATATTGCAACAACTACTATGTTAAAAAACACCAAACATACTACTATTTTTTAAGTCGTTTATTATACAAGTAATTTATTTGCAAAGCACATAATTTAAAGCTAAAATAATTTCGTATATTTAATAGGATAGTATTTAGGATACTTAATGGTAGTTAGTTTTTTTGTCAGGTTATTACAGTCTTCATCGATTATGATTTATTAAAAAGCAATCATTTAGGATATAACTCTTTTGGTCTGTCTTCCAATGTTAGTACAATTTGTAGTACTTGGAAAAATTTACAAAATTTAATTATTAATTGAATTCCGACTAAATGTTAACAATACAGTAACACCGGCTCCACAAGAATAATTTCAGATTTTGACCTTTGGGTAAAATGCTTAAGGCCAATAGTCTATTGCCCGGGTTCTAATTAAAGATTAAATTTTAAACTAGTTAAATAATGCTCTATAAATCAAATTATTAGTGTAACTTTACATTACCTATATATTTTAAATGCCGAATTTGAGTTAAAAAAATGTGTGTTCATTGTAGAATTTAATTTAACGCATAAATTATAGCTCAAACTGTGTCTCGCCGTAGCTTAATAGATTTTACTCTTTAGTATAACTGTATATTGTTTAGGATATGACGTATATTTTTTGGGTAGAAGTTAAAACTGTAACAAAAACGCTCGATCCTTGAAATTTCAGTGTTTTTTTGATTAATTGTCGAAGCTTGACGCTTGCTGTCACAGGCTTTGGCGTCGTTCCCTTGTCTCAGTTTCCTGGTTTAATGCGGAAAACTACAGTTCACATAATATTGTAAGTTGGAACATCCGTGAACACTAAACAATTATTGAATGACGATAATTGATATAGTGGTTTCCATTATTTGTTGTAGCAGCACTGCTGTTAATTCATACGGTTAGGTTTCAGTTACGGTTACGGTTAATTCAGACTATGTTATAGCAAAGAAAGGCAAACAAAGAGACGAGCACAAACAATTTGTTTAGATGAACAGCTCTTTGTTGACTTTAGTGATTTATTATTATTGATCGATCGCAATTTCAGTTTATAAGTAAAGGAAAGTGAAAACTGAACACAAATTAAGCATCAGTGCTTGTTAAAACACTTAAAGGCTTCTCTGTCTGCCCTTTCTGGTGTGAGCGCACGTGCAAACGAGATTCGTTCACGGTCCGTTACACGTTTGCGGTATAAAAATAATATAAATATTTGTCAATTCGTTTAAAACCTCTGAGCTGTCGATCCGACGGACGTTTTGGCCGTCAGCACAGCTAATAACATTTTTATCGAGTCGTTAATGTTTTAATTGCCGGCACTCCTCGATATATCTATATACTATTATATATACCAAGTACATAATTAATATAATTGTGTTACCCGTAACGACAAAATTTCAAATTAAATTAAATTAATGTAACATAAAACAAATGTTCGAGAATTATGCGTTCAAATATTATGTATAAATCCGACGGAGTGACGAGAACCAAAACGTTACAAGTGGCATTTTTTTCTCTCAATACAATTGGTTTCATCTTAAAATATTTGTTGATAAAACCATTTTCTATGTGTTTTATACAAACTGCCCTAATTATTCGAACGAGATAACGTGGAGGAAAATAATCAACACCAACCACTTTCATGTGCTCGTTTATCCAATTTTATAAAAATTACTTACTTATACCTTTTCGGTATTCACTAATTCACATCATACATTCCTCGAGAGTGAAAAAAAAAAAAGAAAAGAAATGGTCACAATTAAAATTACAAAAGTAAACATTTTTGGCCAGTCTCCATGTGATGCTCTCTCTCTCTCTCTCTCTCCCCCCACTTTGGGCAACGGCGTACATAGCCGAGTGTGAAACAGCTCAGTGCACCGAGTCCGCCTAGACCCGGCGACTGTTTCTAAGTACAGCTGTAAGATCTATTTTGGTGCGCGCGCTCGTCCGTCCGTTTCCGACCAACGTCACATGCTCAGTACCGACATAATGCCACTGTAACATCCGTATCCCGTATCCGCGGTCCGACCGGTTCAGCATCTTACCGTGTGACTACTCCGGTGTATATAACGCAGACGCACTAAAAATTGTATATTTTGTTTTTATACAATCTCATACCGTTCGGTTTAAGTGTCCGAAGTCAGTCGTCGCACACGGCCAGGGTGTGGATGGCATCTCGCCCACGCCATGGGCAACTCCCATTCTTCGCTCGGTAAACACAAAAAGCAAAACAAATCCTACGAACACTTGTCGTCCGAGCACTACGTTATCGGTACATATACATACACACACACGCGCCAACCGCATAACATTATTATGATATACACTCGAATGTCGAATGGAATAATAATAATACTTTTTGACGTTCTAATAACAATATTTTTAACATGTGATCGATACATTAGGCACTGGCAACAAGGTTGCCGAGGTGTCGACGACAACGGCTGTATAATATTATGGTATCGGTGTTATTGTTATGACTTGAACGTTTGCTTGTTTCGTTCACAGGTCCTCCCACGGCTCCGGGCAAACCGTTTCTGGCGGTGCCTTCGACGGCCCAAGAACCGGACGTGATCACCGTTCGCTGGAAACCGCCAACCTACGACGGAGGGTCCAGGATTACAGGTAAAAAACCGGGATGGCCACACGCGCAAATTCGGGAGGTTAACGCGGTCACGTGCTTGGTGGTTTAATCCCGTTCGGGCTAGGATCAGTACAGACTTGGCAACTCTCCGGTGGCATCGCGATGATGCGGTCAGACCTCTTTACAACGGGTGTAACCTTCTAGGCGCCGCGCCGGCATCAGATCTACGCTATACAATTATTGTGTCGTTGTCTTTATTCAATGTCTTAGACGCGGGCAGTTCACTTCCCGGTCACAGTCACGAGAGTCCATATAATTATTTATAACTTCACAAGGCTTACCGGGAAGTCAGATGGTCGAAAAAAAAAAAATTACAAACCAACTGTAATGAATTTGTAGCAGGACACAGTCGGGAGGGTGCAAGGGCTAGAAAAACCCTTGCCAGAGGTAGTGCAAAATAGCGCAGTTTTTACTTCTCGAACCCACGTTTTGGTACTTGGTGTTTAACCGCAACATTTGTAGTCAGTACTTTGAAAAGGCTGAGAATTAAGTTTAATCGACCGACGCGTAGTGTTGTTATCTAATTATGAAATTCTGTAGAAGTTCCAACTCAAAATATATTACACGTATATCCTTGACACTTGGCACCCTCTCGCCGTTGATTACACTATACACGCCTATACTACTCTCACTGGAACCGGAAGTACGCCTAAAATACTTGAAATATAGACGAGGGAGTGACATTTGCTTACGCCCAATTCATAAATGGTCCTTACTCCTTATTCATTTCGGTTGTGTTTGATCTTTCGATTTCATACCTAATATAAACAGCCAGCCAATGTTATCCAATTACTCTATTTACTTACTAAATTCAAAATTGACCTATTTCATTTATTATCAGTATGCATTCGCATACTAAAACGCGTGACCATAATATTATTACTAACGTTCTACACACTATTATTGTCTAGTGTTTCGAGATTTTTACGACTACTGTTAAATAATGTATAATATCTGAATATTATATATATATATATATATAATAATAATTTTGTTTATTATTTGGAACATTTTTTAAAAATATTAATCACTTTTCCGTTAGAAAGAGAACAAAACTAGCCAACCTAAATTGTATATAACGCAATAGAAATGCTGTGGAATCGTTTTAGTATCGCACTGACGCCATCTATTTTGTTATTGTTGGTGCCAGAAACAGTTATTAAGAAAGTGGGAAGTGTTATGTTTTGACTGGAATTATATTTTTAACCACAAGAGTAGAAACTATATGTTCTGAAATTCGGATACTGATACAGTATACTATATACTTCCAAGAATTACACCAATAAAATTACAACTTGTATCAAAACTTGATGTATTTATAATAAAAATTTATAGTACTAAAAAATTGTAACGTCCTTAAATAATTCGATATCTTTTGTTTATGTCATTGCTTACATTAAATACTCAAATATTATTATTTCTGATATATTTTTCATTTTCATAGGTATCCGTAAATCGGGCCCCTCCATCTTCATTATAGTAATTTCGGTCCTAGTAGTAATGACTAATGTCTATTCTCTATTAGTAAACACTAATGATATACTGTACAAAATAATTTTGTTTTACAAAAATATACCTACCTGTAACCTGATTGGTCCATTTCAAATGTTTACTCCTTGTTTAAAATCTAAAAGCTTTCATATTGATGTTTATTAGTCATCACTAAAAATATTCGATGACTAACATAATTAGACCTAACATTGCACAAGCATTTACGTTTATCCTATATTATCAAGAAACTAGTCACTGCTCTTGAATTTCTTTTTAATTGTAGAATAATCGATAACGATATTTATTATTGCGGATTGTAGTCACGTTACCCGACCGTAGCCCCATTTCTTAAATTGCTTCTGTATTTTTTATTTGTTAATTATATTTTAAGTTGTTTTGACAAAAGCAAGCGTTGGTTGTACGTTTAAACGTTTATCTTTTGCCACCAATAAACATAAAATATATCTTATGTAATTTCCATTCGAAGATTTGTACTATTAATACGACTAGTTTTAATTCCAATAGAACTCCACAATGCGTGCTTTGATTGCGATTTTATAAACATGAATTCTCGACAATAAATATAAGGGATTTAATTATTTCCAGAGCTCATACGATTAAGATATTGCCTAAACTATTTATGACTCCTTAATAGATGCTCTTTAAATAAAGCATACTGCTTTTATATAAGTGAATAACAGTGTTGTGAAATATCTCCATACTCCAATAATTTTTAAAAAAACTAAATAATAATTCAATAATAATATATAGAGCCAGTCCGTCCCCGTTTAGGCTTTGTTAGGTAAAAACTTCACGAAAACAAATCGAGTAAATAAATTGAAATTGAATAAATTAATTAATTTTTATCGTTACTTTGTAAAAATAGTAACACAGACAATTCGTCATGAAATAAGCGTATAGAAAAGTGCGTCATTTAATGGTATTTTCTAATGCTTTATTACTTGGCAATAACTTCTAAGGACTTAGATAGCCGATACAAAACTTGTAGATCATTTGATGCTCCGAAACTTTTTGCCCACCTTTAGCACTTTTAAAGTATTTTCGCGTTAACAATATACGTAGTACCTGATTTACGTTCGGTAATTTATTTCATCGTAAACAACGTTGCTTTTTAAATTTTATCGAGTCCATCATGTCATACCTATTGTCGTATCATGTTAATCAGTACATTTTTTCTTTACAGGATATTTAGTGGAGCACCGCCGAACCACTTCTCCGCATTGGGTAAAAGCAACGCCGTCCAAAGTACAGCAAAACCAATTGACGTTAGGCGGACTCGAGCCGGGATGGCGTTATCAGTTCAGAGTGAAAGCCGCAAACTCTCTTGGCCAGTCCACCCCCAGTGTGGTGTCGGATCCGGTGACGATTACAGTTCACAGGACGGCCGTGGTGGCACCGGTATTCGTCAGGGACATAGAGGACCGCGTGGCTTTGGAAAACGATCAAGTGGATATTCTAATTTTGTTTTTTTAAAAATGTAATTATAAAGGTGTTTTGTGGTTAGGTGAAATTCGAAGTGGAATTCGAGGGAATGCCGGCGCCGAAGATTAGTTGGTACAAAGATGGATTCGAGCTGTTTAGCAACAGGCGACAAAGGGTGAGCACAGACAATGGAGTCAGCATACTTTACATTCACCAAGCGGAATATTCGGACGAGGGCGAGATTAAATGTTCAGCCACAAACAAAGCAGGACACGCAGTGACCAAAGCTAAACTAAGACTAGAAGGCATGTGACTATAAATTGTAAAATTTCAAAATTCAATAGATACTCAATATGATACAATTTTTATATTAACGTTGCGTTCATAATTGTATTTATAGCACCACCGATGGTGCGTTTGCCTCAAGACTACGAAGAGGGTTTGTTGTTGGAACAAAATGAGCCGATGAGATTGAAAGTATCCGTTTCGGGACGTCCATTGCCGCAGATCACTTGGCTTCACGACGGCAAAGAAATACGAGGCGGAGAAAGGTTAATTTAAACAAAACAAAATTAAAAACCTATTTTTACCCCAATTTTCCAGTGTAAAACTTGACTACACAGAATGAATTTTGCTTTATGATAGGTTTAGAGCATAAGCACTTGGATTGAATTCGAAAAAGAATGAATTTTCGGTTAGATTATCATATTTTTTTTTTTACAAAAATGACCTTTCAACATAAAATATCAGGCTTATTATTGTATGTATTCAAAAACGGATATCACGTTAAAAAAAAATTAAAAAACCCTTGAACTTTTAATAAATAGGCGCACCTATTAAGAGCGAGGCACTGATCACTTTGAACGTATTGCAACTTTAATGTTTGTATTTTTTTCATCATATTTTTTGAAGTTCCATTAAAAAAATGTGATATTGAAATGTGAATAATAAAAATAATAATAATTATATATATTAAAAATGTGATATTTTTTTAATGAAACCTCAAAAAATATGATATTGAAAATTAAAATTATTACCAAAATATCTTACTAGTTATAAGTCTTTAATTTAAATAAAAAAACTGTATTTATATTAAAATGGTTTTTTCTCATACAAAATTTAAAAACTTTATTTTTAAAAATTATAACAGATTTTCAAATAATGATTATTGACAAATTTGAGTTTTGTTAAAAAAAAAAAAATAATAGTTTTGATTTACAAAGAATAATTATTTATTCTTCTAATTAAGGTAGTATAAGTAAGACTCTATAGAAATTAAATCGATGATTATAACTTTTAAATTTTTTAAATTTGAATGTTAACAACATATATACATTAAGTGTAGTATAAAATAAAAAGAATTGTCCAATTTTAATTAGTTACTTTTAAAGTTAAAATTATTGCAATTAATTTTACTTAATTTGTGAAAAATAGAATAAAAACATAACATTCAATTGAGTATTGTGCACTCTCTCGTCGATTATACTTTTAAATAATTTGTTCGCACTTCAAATTGATTATAAAATATGTAAAATATTATTTATATTATAGATACGAAGTTATCCATACAGATAAATTTGCGGCGTTGAAATTGCCTGCCGTCAAAAGATCTGACAGAGGGTGCTATCAGATCCATGCGGTAAATCCTATAGGCGAATATACTGCTTCATTTTTAGTAACAGTTACAGGTAGATGATGATTAAATAAGAACCATCGTTTAAAGTTTTAACGCATATATTTCAGTACTTACAATTTATTTTCACACATTTTTCCAGATAGGCCTTCACCACCGGGTAAAATTCAAGTGTCGAAAATTTCTGGAAAATCGGTTATGCTCACATGGAAACCGCCGGAAGACGACGGAGGCTGTAAAATAGGAAGTTACATCGTGGAATATAATCGAGTAAAAATATATTATAATATCATATCAAAAGGATATATCCAAATTTTATGTTATGATAAAAAAAATGAATTCTGATTAGCTCGATTTCAGACAACAGGAGCGATAGCGTACTCCTTTAGTTTGAACTCTTGTGTATATATACTAAGTACATAATATTATTAAGTATAATACTATTACACATATAAGCAGAGAAAGCGCTTCCGTGTATTTTTGATCCTTGTTTATAATGTTAAGAATTCAATCGGATCTGACAAAATAATTAATAACTGAAAATTTGGATAACTTTTTTTATGTAAAACCATCTCAACATCTGAGCTTAACTTCTGATTTTATACACTTAGGTCGGCTGGGATATGTGGTTAAAAGCGACAACTAGCAGGCAGCTCACGACAACACTGGACGATTTGTTGGAGGGGTCAGAATATAGATTTCGAGTAAAAGCTGAAAATCCCTACGGCATAAGTTTACCCAGTGATGTCTCAGAGCCGATATTTTTGCCTGACATCAAACGAGGGTAAGATAGCTGTAAAAAAATTAAGTATGCTTAAGGCTCGTATGTGTTGGTTCCGTTACTAACGGCACACAAAACATAAAGAACAATACCTAACAAAAATAAAATCCTAATATTTGATTTTGATATGCCAATTTTATTTTCAATGAATGTACTAATATTATTTATCATTTGTTACCTAACTTTAAATTTTAGTTCTTACAGGTAGTGTACATTTCTTCTCTGCAATATGCCCAATTCTCATTCCTAATTAATAATGGTACCATTTATATTCGTTTCAGTGTTTTTATTTCTGCTCCTTTCATTGTTTTTTTTATTTTAACGCTAAACATTAACTTATACGAGTATAATATCATAGACCTCTGTTATTTTTGTGGACTGGTAACAAATCGATTAAAAGTGAAGGCTTATAGGAGGTTTTTTCCACCAACTGTTTTATTTCATATCCAATGGCCTAGACAGTATAATTTATTAATAGGTTTTCCTAATTATATTATTATGCATTTCAGAATATATACGCCGATCGTTACGGCGTCATTACTGTCCGAAGACGAAGAAAAACTAGTGAAATTTCAAGAAACTGAAATGCTGGAACATTTCGGTCGGAACAAGTCAAAATCACCGGATCCGTTTTTAAAGCCAAGGAAGCTGAGCGTCGATGAAGTGTCCCCTCCGGTGCCGAAAAGACGGAAGAAAAAACCGTTGACTGACACGATCAGCATGACGAGCACAGGGACAAGCGAGTCGCTTTCGTCGACTTCCCAAGATATATCATTCGATTCGTGGCAGCAACCGATCGAGCAAAAAGATCATTGGGGCTTGACGCCAAGATCGAAAGCGGAAAACGGCAGAACGAGTCCTAACCATTTACCTAACCCTCATCAAATCACGATGAATTATAAAACCAAAGGTATGCGATAGCTACTTGAATAAATAGATATATTTTTTTAAAAAAATTTTTTATCTCTAGGAAATTCATCCAATTCACTAGTATTTGACTTTGACCGCGCTACGGCCCCGCCGATTTCCATTTCTTCTCCTGAACTCGGTGCCGACGTGGAAGAGTTCGAGGAGTACCTGAGAAACTCGTTCAGTTCAAGTGAACTTCTTTACGAGCGGAACTTGCACCGATTTAACGAGTACAAGGACAATGAAAACCGGTCGTCGGAAGCACACAAAATAGCGGTCTACACGATGGACAGGAAAAACAGTTTACTCAAGCCACCAGTTAATTGCAGACGGTCTGTCGAAGATGTAGAAGAGAGGTCGATCGTCAGCGACTCGGGTTCGATCCAGAGCGTCATCGAAGTTTCCAAAGTATCAAAGTCCGATAGTTTTTTGTCGCTCGCCAGCAACAGCACGGAGGACGACGGTGCGAAACCGTCGGTATCTTTTTCTGGTTCGAAATCCCAGTTGGTCAGCAAGTCCGAGGAATATCTCAACAAATACCAGTCGAATTCGTCTTCGGCCGAATCGGAATCCGACGACGACCAGATGCGCTTCGGCAGCGGAAAGAGAGCGTTGGACCACTTGACGTCCAGCGCTTTCTTCTCGACCATATTCGACGACGATTATTTGTCAGATCACAAGTCCGACAGGTCAGTGTCGTCGGCCAAGGAAGCCGATCGAGCCGAGATGATTTCGCAGGATTCGCTGAACTCCGAGTCGATAAGCAGCGGCGGTGGCGACGTTTCTCAATTGGACAAGGAATGCGGCGAAATGGAAAAGGTGTGGCGGACCGATTTCATCACTCGAACCGTGGTAGACCACTTGGACGATGCGGATCGACTCAAGTGGTCAGAAACCGAAGAATACCGGCTGAGGGATTTCATTCCCAAACACGTTTTGATACCCAATCCGTTTTACAAGGAACCCACCGGCGGCTCCCCCAGAGAAAGTCCGTGTCGATTAAAAATTGAGCTTTCGCAAAACAAAGAAGAAATAGTACCACCGGAAATTCCTAAAAGGGAGGAAACGGCGGACAATCCGGTCGCCTTGCCGGTCATTACGATCACCGAGGTCAACAACGAGTACAGTCCAAAGTCGATACTGAAAAAGATCATAGTGCCTTCGTTTGCCGGCAAAACCGGTTCGTTTTTCAAACGCAACAACGTCAAGTCCGACATATTCGACAACGTGAAGAAGTCGCCGGAACGCGAGTACGTGAAAAAACGCGAACTAGACCAAACTGACATCAGGACTTCCCGTGTCCACGAAGAGCCTAAGTTGATGATCGTCCAGCATTACGGTAGCATCATCGAGGAGTACAACTCGGGCAAAAAACCGGCTTCGAAAACGTACTTGGATTTTGATCAGCTCAAGATGGCGGCCGTGGAGGACGTCGATCCAATTATCGATCTGACTCCGGAAGTACCGGTCGACAGCGAACAGGACGAAGCAGACGATTTGAAGTGGCTGATGAAAGACGAACAAAATCTTCTACCGTCAGAAAACGAATTGAACGTGGCTGACGCTGGATTAGCTTTCATGGAAGCGCCGCCGACCGACATGGGTTTTCCGTACTTAAAAGTGTTCGGCAACCTGTCTTTGATGCTTTTCGGCTATTGGTTATACATGTGCAAAGACGAACGACTGTCGGTGCCAGTTTTTGGATTTTTGATCTTCCGTTTTTTCAAGACTCAAATTTGGGATAGGATCTAAACAATTTTTTATGTGTTATTTTAATGTAATTTGTTACATTTTTTTTAAACGACTACGCGATATTATTATTGTTGATAAAAAAAAAAAAATAGTTAAATGTTTTACAATCGTTATGAACCTATTAATAAAAACACTAAAATATTTTATATATTTTTCTCGATTAACATTTTTCACCGACATGTCGGCCTTGCACTCGTGTCGAATTGAGCTTTAAGTATAGTAAAAAAAACCAAACGCTCTATACGACACGACACCCGAGTAGTGTTTGTTTTTGACGCAAAAGACTAAATTTAAAATCACGTCTTGTCCCCTTTTAATAATCCTACGCGTAACGTTATCGGCCGATAGGTTGATCTATACCGGATGAGGTTTTTTTTAGAGAAGAGTTGCTGATGGGGCGAAGGGGCGAAGGGGCAAGTCTCCGTGCGTTTCCCCACGTGAATTGGCAGCAATATAAATTGAACGTGCATGCACTTCGGTAAGTGAAATGAAAATCAAATCGCGTAGAGCGCGGAGGAGGGAAAGAAGAGATGAAAAAAATTGAAAAAAAATAAAAAATGAGAATAACAAAAAATTTTAAAATAGCCACCGGATTACCGCAACGTTACCACAGTAACTGCGCATGTAGAACCGCCGGCCCCCTCTTGTTTCGCAACGGCCAAGACGACCGTTGACGGTTCCGGCAGAGATTAGATTCGAAACTCGCGTGCGCCGCTGATCCTCTCCGGTGTCTCTCCGACCGTGTCCGCCGCTCATCCGTCGGTCTGGTGAAGTTCAAGTTTGTGTGTGTGTGTGTGTGAAGAAGCCCCAGCGAATCGACCGGTTCGATTTAAACACACCATCAGCGAACAGACCGTCGATTGCGGGCAGTGGAAACCGCAAAAGGTACGTGGAAAACAATCAATTACCTACCTCCGGGGTTTGGGACCTGTAATTGGTTTTTTTTAAGTCGTTTAGCCCCATGACGGGTGCTCAGGACGGAAACGTGGAATAAATCTCAAACCACGGGTTAGATGACCGTTTTTCTCAGCTCGACCCGTGTGGTCCTTGTGTGACTAGCACAACCGTGGAAAACTGCGTTATGGCAGCGGGTCGTTTATTTTTAAACCGTCGATTTTCGTATTTCGCCCAAGGATGTTTTGCGCTTAAATTTAGAGACGGACGCGCGCGTTAACCACAGCGCTACACGAAAATTCACACAGTGACGTCAAAAAGTCGATGATGATGATAATAATAATAATAATAATGTATATTGGGAGCACTCTGTGGGCCGAGAACATGCGTATTGAAAGAAATAAACGTTATCAGCTCGTGTCACGGCCGGAAACTTGTACGAGAAAAACATTAACGTCCGTAAATAAATACACTTTTGAACGTCGGCTTTAGTTATTGTACACCGTTGTTTTCATTTGAAGCTTTAAAATATCGCAAAATAGTGAGGGAAAACTCGGCCGGGAACTCAGAATCTTCGAAATATTGTATAGCTCCACAGAATTTGGGTAAGAAATAAAAACCCGTGAGACTTCATTTGATAGTCAAGGTGGACCCAAGCCCCGCACCCGCCCTGTATGTGATTAGTCTTAACCGTTCATGAGTCGTGACCAAAAATTGTAAAAGTAAAAAAATGAAAGGTGAACACTACACATAAAGCACAAAAAAATATTTCTAAGAGATAAAATGTACAACTAAATTAATAAACAACACAATTGTATAATGAATAATAAAAATGAAAATAAAAATATCGCGGACAGTGAGATATGAGAGTACAGTAACAAGTCTTTGTTTTAAAGGTTAAAACATAGGTACATATTATGTTTTGTTTCTGGTATTGTATGTATTTTATTTTGTATCTTATTTCTCTTTTCCACACTGAAATTAATATGTTTTTATATTATTAAAAAATTAGATCATATATTGGTAATAACTTGTAATTAAAAAACTATCATTGTATAACTCTCTATCTCCAACACAAGTTTAAGCTTACAAGAGATAGAAATCATGAAAATAGTATTTATCATTTATTTTTTATGTATATTTTTCAAATATTTTCTGATTTAATAAAAAAAAAAAAAAATATAGTGGTTAACTTTAATAATTTCACAAAAGTTTTTAAACTATACTTATAAATAAATAATTGACAATATGACATTTATATATATACGACATTATACTAATTATTGAATCCTTCGACGTTCCAACTAGATGATACTTCTGATTGATTAATTGAATGCATGGATGTTTCAATAAAATGGCTCTAGAAATGTAATATCTTCAAATTTTTTTGGCTTTCACTTTTATAATGCATTTTGGCTGTATACGTTTAAGATGGTTCTTAGATTTTAAAAGTTTTCTATATATACTATACTATATAGAATATATTTTACTTGAAATATGGTGGCGTCTTTCTACTAGGTGTTTTGTACTTAAAGATAACTTAGTGAGATAAACGGTGGGTTAGGTGGACAATGTACAAACAGCTTGCGTGTCTATAGAATGGCAAGCACCGAAAGGGTTCGGCGGAGGTTAGTTTGTCTGCTTGGCTGCAAGCTCAGCACCGACAAAAAGTTTAATTTGGGCACAATACGGTTGTTTGATTCGAACGAGTTATTTATTTCCGAGCTGTCGATGATGACGGCCAAAAAAGATTTAAGTTTCCACAAAACCCGGCTACTGTAGTTTACTTATTAACCGTATAAATATAGATTAAAGCCAACCGTACTGTAGTTTACGTCTCGGAAAAGGTTAAACGCTTTTCATTTATAATTCAACGTTATTTTACTGTACGCGCACTAGCCAACTTTTTTTTTCTTTAAGTTCAGTCTAGTCTGTCTGAGAAGAGCAAAACTTCCAGCGTGCTCGTGTTTATATCCAACACAATTAACGCATACATGTTTTACGGCTCAGAACATGTGGGTATGTTTAACAAAAAAAAAAGTTGGCTCGATAAAATATTCATATTGAATAAATGTAAATGTAAAACAAATCCAGTTATCTAAATTTGGAAAAAATTACGTCTAGCCTACCAATCCAGCACACTAAAAAGTTAGTAAAGTAGCGTCAAGGCAATTATGAATTTTGAAAATGATTTCATCACTATCAATTACTTCGATCCGGGTCCAATAATATGAATCTTACAGTATGGATAATGTGAATGATCAAACTTTTAATGTCTTTGGATGCCAGAAATCAAAATACTTTATATTAACCACCTCCCCCAAGTGTGAATGTAATTATTAAATTATTAATCAACATAATAAGCGTAAAAGCTCGCTGCAATGGAAAAAATGTATATAATTTAAAGAAAATGTAATATATTTTTTTTATGAACGTGTATGAATTCATAAAGAAATTGTAGGCAATAAACTTTATAATAAAATTCGAACACACAAACAATTACAAGTATCATAAAATCTAGCTTTAGTTTACATTGTAAGATATGACTAATTATTTCGTTTTAATAGAGCTATAAAACAAAATAATTACCAACTCCAAACTAAGTTTAGACTTACGAATAGATAATAAAAAAAAACACTAAAACATCGTTTAATTCACACTGATTCATATTATTATTTGTTTCATACTTCTAGTTAAAAAAGAGCTTTTTTTAAATTTAAATTTCACACAAGACAAGATATTAAAACATGAAATTTTAATATGGAAACTTAACCAATTGATCAAAAACCTCAATTTGGCGATGAAAAACTGTATTTAATATTTGTATATTTTATATTTATTTAACTAATTTAAGTGTTATGAATCATTTTTTAAATAGTTATTTTGAAGTATATAAAAACGTTAAACCTGTGAACAAGCTAATGCAGGTAAAATATATTTTATATATCAATTATGCATAAAGAATATATTTAATTTCTTTATAACAACGAAAGCATGATTTACGCAATTTTTAAATTTGTCTTTAAAAGGATTTAAGTTTTGAATTTATTTTTTATAACATAGTTTGGCTTTAAGTTTTGTACACAATAATAAATATCGATTACTTCGTATGCCCTTTTCTTGATTTTTTTTTTTGTTATTATGTATATTTTCTCAAATATATTCTATATTTGGCCTTTTTATAAATAGCGACGACAGAAGCCATTAAATAAACATAAAAAAAAATTATATACAAGACCAGTGCCTAAAAAAAAAATGTTTAAAAATGTGTATTTTTATTTGATAAAAGCAATTATTACTTAAAGACATGTGAAAACTGTCTGTTTAATTTTATGGCCTAAATCAAGACTGACGCTAAAAATAGAAATAATTAAACATTTTAAAACAAAATACGTAAGCTATTTGCTATATTTATAAAACAAATTCGGTTTTTTTCCAAAGAGCTTAATATAATGAGTTAAGAAAATGTTTTAAATTTTAACTTAATTGTTAACAGATGAGAGTTTAACATTAAGTAAAAAAAACAGTATTATGCTCGTACAAAAAATTTCATAGATTTTGCATACCTTCTGCGCCTTAACAAGACTTTATTTAATTTTAAGGGGTTATAAATAGGCAATATTTACCATCAAATTGAAATAAATATTTGTGTTTAAAATTATTTTTTTTTGTTTCGATATGCTTTAATTTTTGCACATTGGCAAAAATGCATTGCATAAAATTTGAATATTATAATGTAGAAAGTATCTCTATCTTTTTTTTCTCTGAATACCTACATAAGTTAACGGTACAGGTGTACTCGCGGTTCACGAATAATAATTAATTATATTCTTTTGGACAGCATGAAAGAAGTGTTAATGTTAATATAATAGTGTTTATTTTTTGACATAAGTGTAGAAGCCAGAAGATTTATTTAGGGATTTGTCAACAGTTAACTATAATAGACAGTGACTTCAAAGTATAGGTAGCTAGGTAATAATATCAATCATTTTTATTTATTATAAATTATTGTTTTTTATTAGTGTTTATTTTATTTCTATAAAAACAAAATTTAATATAAAATACATGGGTTTTTTTTGCTGAATCTATATATGATCTCAGATTTTCTCTAGCACGTCTAATTATTTGTTAAATCGCTTCTTAAGTTGTAAAATCACTTCTTTATACTATATTCAGCGAGCGCTGCGCGTTTGAATAATTTGTTAAAATGAATAGAACAATTCTAAGTTTAAAACTAGCCTCAGAAAGATTGTAGAATTTTTAGTGTCCACGTCTGGTTTTTTAAATTGTAGCTACATTCGGAAATGTGCAATGCATACAACAGACATTGACCACTTCATCTCCCCTCTATGCGTGCCGCTGTAAACTAATTCTAGAAACGCCTATGTGTCATAATTATAATGTTAAAAGAAAATTACCAGAATACAATTCACCCTTACCAAACCTGAACCGGCGGCAACATCGGTATAACAAATGCGCAACAAACGGGTGTACCTACAGCTGTAGTGTTGCTAATATTTTCGTTCTCGGTTTGGCGCCAACGCGTTACGACCGTATTGTGTGTAACATTATTATAGTATAAAAAGTTCAAAGGTTTTTTTTTGTTTTCTCCTCACTATAACGACGGTAGGTAATAATTGATGTGCGTTTTACGCTATTTTATGACCCATTTGCCAGACGTCGGCGCGGCTGTAACGCGGTTACCGGCGTGTTTGTGCGTGTGTGCGTTGCGCTATTTCGGATACTTGACGGGAAGAGTTTTTTTAACCATTTTAACGGCGTACATGCGAGAAAAAAAACCATAATAAAAATCGGTGGGCGAATAAATCTCTGGCGGCGGAAAATCGCCGTGTTGCGGCCGTGTCACAGCCGGTGTGCTGCCTCGGTCGCCGGTCAAATGTGCGCGGCTGCGACCCAAAATAATTCCGTGTGTGGGTCAGTCCGCTGCCGGTCTGCGCGGCCAAACGTCCGTCGTCCGCGGTCACGGGACAAGAGGGGCGGTGGTCGCGGTAACTTCTACTTTTGATTCCGGCCCGTTATTTATATTTTCTAAGCCGTTGTCAATTTTATTCGAATTACGGCGCCGACGATGAGATGATTTCATGGATAATATTGTAACGCCCGAACAATGGGAAACAAATGCTGCAAATGTCAATCGTCCAACTACAGTAGCGCGAACGTTACGGTCAGGTCGTTCTCGTCTTGCAACTCTTCGCTCGTCAACCGGTAAGTGTTGTCCCGGACAATGTGTTCTGTACATCTCGGATCAATAATTAGAAAAATGCGTCTTCTCCTCCCGTCCTAACACTTAAACTCTCATAACATTAAAACAGTTGTTCAAAACTGGTTATCAACGAGTCAACATTTTTTAGTACATTATTCTCAATTTAAAAAGTTAACGTTAAAATGTAAGGGTTATCATTTAAGTTTCAAAAGTTGGGAGGGGGTTAAAACAAAAAAAAAAATTGTGAAAATGTTTATAAAACTTAATCCGTGGATTAGACTTATTGTATTCATTAAAAACACATGAATTTATTTTATTTTTCATTTCAGTACTTCAAGATTAAATGATTAATGATCAGTCAATATTAGTCTAGTTGTATTGTAATCACTTGTGCCAATAGGTAGTAAAAAGTAATTAATATAGTACTCGTTATGATTTTATACTATAAACTGCAAATGAAGTCAGAGTTAAACATTATTGAATTTTTAGCTTGGAAACATGATTAATAACGGTCAACAGTGCCATGGATATCTTTTATGATACTGTAAACAAATATTAATGTAGTTTTAATTTTGTTTAACTATCGTGTAATTTCGAAGTAACAATACTTGGATTTTCGATTACTTAACATTGACTTTATAACTTATGATTCTTCAATCAAATATTTGGACATACTTACCGTATGCATCCTTGTTGCTCTTCTCCATCAGGTAAAAAATTTGTAGTTATTTTTAAAGTAACATTGTATAAGATTCTAATAAACTGAACAACATTTAACTGCAAATGAAGTCAGAGTTAAACATTATTGAATGTTTATTTTGTTTTATCAAATGTTGATATGATTTTGTTTTTATAAATTCGTCAAAATGTGTAACTATTATACAAAAGTATTTATATTATGTTTTATTCACACGTGGGTACATTATATTAAGAAAACAAATATTGGCAGCATCTAATCATAATGTAAACACTCATTAATTTTCTATAAGTTTAAATGATCATTTTTATTTTTATGTTATTTTTTATTTTCAATTGTAAATTTTTGCAGAATTAAGATAAGTTAGTTACATTACACCATTTCCTCTATCGTTATTATTTTTTATTAACGTTTATTTTACTTAGTATCAAGTGTATATTATTGAAATATTAACATATAATTGTGCCTCCAAGAGCAAAAGTGGTGTAAGTCACGTTTTCACACAATCCATAGTAACAGCACAATTCTTCCTTCAATCTTATTGTCTGCGAAAATGGTTGAACCTAATTTTGCTAGTTTTCCACTGGATAAATTTTTACGTTCTTGTAAAAACTTATACAGCGTTTCATAACTTAAACCACTTTTGCTCTTGACGGCTCAAATATTTAAGTATTATGAGAAGTGACTCTGAACAAGATATATTAGGTATATTTATTGTTTAGCGTTGTCCATTGTTCATTAATTAAGCTGGATTTAGATCTTAGTAGCCTGTGAATTTTCATTTGTGTCTAAACTTTTCATATCTATCATAATAAATACTTCAACACATAATTTACGAGCAACGTCAAACGTAAAGTCTACAGCTGCTGGATTTTAATGGACCAAAAATACTAATTCCATTTATAACGCATGATTTCATATGGTAAAAATACGTTTTTGCCTCATCATACTCAATTAAATGAGTATACATAGTGTTATGTAAAAATAAAATATTTCTTAGTTTACAATAACACTTTTTATGTGTTTTTCCTGAGCATTTTAAAAAGTACTCGACAAAATCATTTTGCGTTTATTTACGAAAATAAACTATTTGGCAAATGATAGTGATATTATCAAAATCAATTATGCGCAATGAACTCCGTGTCTTTTTATATTTTCTAATCTCTTATTTTTTATTAGTATAATATACTAGCGACAAGTCCTTACATTTTACTGAAATATTTCTCTAAATTACATTGTTATTTAATTAAGAAGTAAAAAAATGTAGGTTAAAATTGTTTTAAATTTTAGCCCAAAAAAACCTTATTTTTAGTAAAGAATGATTTATCAATTTAAAAAAAAAAGTTTACAAGGTTAAACTAACGCCTACGAGTGCTTTTTTTGTATATGTTGCCAATTATTTGCAAACACAATACTACTATATTCGTTTGACATTTAGTTTGTTTAATACTTATAGATCTAACGAAATAAAATATTTGCCAAGAGCACATGTAGATATTTTGGAACTTTTGAACACAATATTTACAATTTTTTTTTTTAATATTTAGTATTACTCTTACATGTTTTTTTATTTACAATTTAACACAAAAATTGAGCTTTTGATAGTCCTAGTTCAATAATGTTTCATCAAAATATAAGGAATAATATACTTTTAGCTTCGTTGAATCTATTCAACTACTGTTTAAACAAGAATTTTCATAAAATGTATTTACGATTCAATTATACGAGTATGTTGAATAATACATTAGCAAATTATATAGTTGGTATTTAAACAAGTTGACGGCTGACAAATGAAATGTGTAGTTTATATTTTCTTTTGCACATAATTTAAATCTGCACGGCATACAAACAACTATATTATTCACCAGACGTGACGTTCTTGTCGGCTGTTGCTCTTAGGAATTCGTGTAGGCAATAAAATGTAGAACATATTAATCTAAATCGCGCGATAGGCTGAAACGGTTTATTTTTAGGAAGACCACAAAGAATTGTTTCTGGCTTGGAAACATGATTAATAACGGTCAACAGTGCCATGGATATCTTTTATGATACTGTAAACAAATATTAATGTAGTTTTAATTTCGTTTAACTATCGTGTAATTTCGAAGTAATAATACTTGGATTTTCGATTACTTAACATTGACTTTATAACTTATGATTCTTCAATCAAATATTTGGACATACTTACCGTATGCATCCTTGTTGCTCTTCTCCATCAGGTAAAACATTTGTAGTTATTTTTAAAATAACATTGTATAAGATTCTAATAAACTGAACAACATTTAAAATCTCAATGTTTTCAAAAGGATGCAAGGGTTTTTAAATAAGTAATGATCGTCTATTAGTAATGTTTTAGGGTTGTCATTGTCCCGTCATCAGTTAAACTTTTACGGAAAAATTATTCCAAAACTATTAGCTTGAATCACTTTTACATACGAGAATAACTTGATCCACATTGCCATGAAGACTTATTTGCAATTTTTATGACTGTTGTACAATTCTTAAACCTTCGGACCTTAATTTGATAAACCACAGTTTCACAGAAAGAATTTTTTTGGTAAATAGTATTTAGATTATTGGCATTTTGACGAGCCGATGATAAACGTTTTTGGATTATGTGTCGAGTTAAATTACTGTACACTATACCATACTGGCATTACTGCTAATAATGCTGTACTAAAGTTTCTATGCTGAGTGAGAGGGTTTGCATCGATATGATGTTTTTATGACATGCGGTTGGCTGATGCTCGGGGCAAAAAAAAAAAACAATTGCCGCTGTCGTTGAGGTGTGTCCGTGACAGCTGCCGTCATTTACGATTGGTTCGGACAATAATGGCTATTTTTAGGTTAGTTTATTTCCGTAAGAGTTTCATTAACGCGACTAGCCGGCAGTCGAAATTAAGCGCACGCCGTGCGCTAATTAACATCAAATTGTCAATAACATGTCCTGAGAAAATCATTAAAAATGATCGTCATATTTTGGTACTTGGTTCACAAGTTATTTTCAATTTTACGCAGACGGCGGGGGTAAGTCCTTAGCATTAAACAACATCTAAACTTTGTGTTGTCTCACCTATAGCCATGAAACGTAGTAAATTATTTTATATTAATAATCACCTAAAATAATACTTAGGTTGCCCGTAAATTGTATATAATATATATTTTCCATTTTATTGTTTAAGGTTCTAGAAGGCCACACAACGAGAAATCTGTTATTTATGACATTTGTTTGCACTTAATAATATACTTAATTTACAGTTCTTATTCCATTATAATGGATAAAAAAAATACCGTCATAACCTAACAGAAGATGTTGACACCTTGTTATTATTTTCAGGTCGCGAGAAAGCGATGCTGCGCTTACGTATGAAACCTCCCCCCATAACCCTCTAAAAACCCTTAGAATGAAACCGATTATCCCGAACTACTGCAAAGATCATAGACCAATAGATTCTCCCGACATGTCCAGCCAAGATATTTGCGCACCAGTATTCCTTAGACGGCTCAATGATTTACACGTCAGAGTGGGTGGCCGCACTAGGTTACTGATCGAACTGGAAGACTCTGCAGACGTCCAGGTAAAATACATAGCAATTGCTTATTTTTTAAGAAGGTAACGAAAATGGCCGAAAAAACTAAAACGTCTTAAAAATTGTATTTTATAATCATAATATTATATATATGTTAAAACATTTTAACTTATTCAAAACATTATAATGTATGTATTGTAACAGTACAGCGTTTTTTAGGTTCTTTTATACCGCGATTAGCTATGCATAAAATATGTATTGCAGCGACAAATAGTAAAAGTGCATAACAAATAAAAATAAATAAGTCTCGTGACGGTCTGTCCGTCAACTATTTATAGACATTAAGGTATGACTCATTTGTTTGGCGAACTCTCGTGCAGGTCCGCTGGTACAAAAACAATCAAGCCGCTCAAAGCGAGAGATACCAATGCATACACGAAGGAGGGTTCTATTGTTTGGATATTGTTCCGGTGACCCTGGAAGACGAAGGTCTTTGGGTGTGTACGGCACAAAATCTCATTGGAAAATCGTCGACAGCGGCGAGATTGACACTCACGGGTGGGTAATTGTTTTTCGCTGCAAAATTGTTTATGTTATTTATGGCGATTTAAATTATAGTGCCAAAAGCGTTTAAAAAACCAATATTCGTCGAAGGCCTTAAAGCCATACTTACACAACGCGGAATAGTTTCCTTAGAGTGTAAAGTAATCGGCGTACCGACGCCAAAATTGCGTTGGTTCAAAGACGGAAAGGAAGTCAAAGCGGGGGACATATTTGCCCTGACAGCAAATTCCAACGATGATTGTCTGGGAATTTATACTTGCGAAGCTTCCAACGTTATGGGTATCTCAACCTCTACATCAAGAATACACGTGACCCATACCAAACTTGACGGTGAATTAGACTCAGATAGGTAAATTTTGAAAACTTAATACTATCAAACAAACAAATGTCTATAATAATCTAAACTTCAAAATAATTTGTCACGGAATCTTTGTTTATAATTAATATAGCCTAGTACCCTACGGACCACCGCCAAAGTTTATAAAAGGTCTAGAGAACGCTTCCGGGAAAGTAGGAGGTGTACTCGTCTTAAAATGCCAAGGTAAGAGTTACAATTTCGCTCTTCAGCTTAACAGAGCAGATAGTTTACATTTAAATATGATTACAGTTAACCCAAAATAACTTATCTTAAGTCTAGCATAGTTTATAAATCAATAAATTAGTTGCGTTGATAATTTAAAATACTATATATTTTTGTTTAGTCGATGTCCCTCCATGGCCTCGAAGTGTAGGATGGTATAACAATAACGGCATTGTGGACGAAGGGCCGTTATATCATTTAATAGCTGACGGTCTAGGCATGTATGGCGTTGAAATAAAAACCCTTCGAGCTGACCATAACTCCAAGTGGAAGTGTATAGCTTCTAGTGCGACTGGAGCAAAAGCCGTCACCACTTGTACGCTCTCGGTATCTTGTAAGTTATAACGGGAAATTACATTTATTGAATAGTTTAATTGACATTGTACCTAACTTTAAAAGGGTAATTTTTGTTTTTACAACTTTTGAAATTAGATCCAAAGAATTACCGAGTTCCAAGATTTTTAGAAAGTCTAAGAGCTATCATGACTGACGAAGGCATGGTGAGTTTTGAGTGCAAAGTCATAGGGTATCCTACACCACAGCTATCGTGGTTTAAAGATGGCAAACAACTTCAACCCGGAGATGTGTATGAATTAACGGGAAGTAAATCTCTAGGTAAATATTGTGTGGATGGAGTTGGACAACACACTTAGCAATTATAGGTTTTCATTAGTTATAATCATATAATTTTTAGGAAGTTACTGTTGTTTGGCTCAAAACTGTATGGGTGAAGCTAGCAGCTTTGCTGAACTGACGGTTGAAGATATTGAAAATCAACTTAATGACAACGAAAGACTTCAACTTACATCAACCACGCAGCCACCACGGTTTATTGTTGGACTTAAAAGCGCTGAGGCCAATATAAACGAACCATTGGTTTTCACCGTTAAAGGTGGGTTTTCGTACAACACGTTTTCACTCAAATATACAATTAATGAAATACAGCATATAATTCAATGTTGTTTTGCAGTGACGACGGAACCAGAACCTTCTATTAGTTGGTTTAGAGAAAATGAACATGTAACCGAATCGGATCATTACAGAATGTCATGCGAACAAAATGGAACTTATTTTTTAAGTTTAGGGCCTATAGAAATAGTAGATCAAGCCGAATGGAAATGTGTGGCAATTAATAAATATGGACAGACCGTGACGTCCAGTTATTTAAAGCTTAATATACCGAAAAATTTCAAAACACCAAAGTTCTTAGAAGAGTTAAGAATTGCTTTTTCAAACGAGGGGTCTGTCAATTTAGAATGCAAAGTACGTTTAAATTGACAGTTAGATAAGTACCGTTGTGTAATGTGGGTTCTATTTTTTTTTTATAATAAAGGTTATTGGTGTACCGCAACCTCAACTAAAATGGTTTAAAGACGGCCAACAGTTAAACCCTGGAGACATGCATAAAATTATATCCGGCCAAGGGGGAACTTGCTGTTTGGGAACGTACACATGCCAAGCCCATAACTGCATGGGCACGGTATCTAGTTCAGCAACATTAATGACGATAGAAGGTAATTGTATTTATTAAATTATATTATATGTGTGTGTTCATAAAATAGTTTCTTTATTATAACCTAGCCATGATATTTTTATCTAGACAAATCCACGGTTAAATCCTGCTTTACCGACGAATACCTATCAGTAGATAATCCTCTTGTAAGGAATGAGTCTCTATCTACAATATTAGAAGAACGGACAAGTCAAATGGAAAAGTCGTATACAATCGAGGAGCCGGCCGATGTATCCTTTTCGTTCGACGGCAAAGAAGTGACCGTATCGTTGTATGAAACGCCAGACCTCACACACGACGAAGCTTTACAAATCATCGAGATGTATGCAGATGAACTGTCTGAAAATATTACAGGTACAGATAATATAATTACAACAACACTAAAATCATTATTTTAAAATTGATGTATTTTAATTTTTTTTAGAGGACAATTTCGTTGATTTGCCATCGTTGCGTATCGTTAAAGAATCGTCGATATCGGGTCATGTTTTAATGGAAGCGTTGGTTATTGACGTTCCAGTAGGTTTTTGTAGACAACAAACTGTATCTGACACAGACATGGATGCTTTTTCTATTACTGAAGATACTACTTTGCCACACAACGATAAACGCGATAGTCTGGCCGATAATAGCTTAGAGTTTTTCTCAGAGCACTTGTCAGAGCAAAATAGCAAATCTAGTAATTCAAAAAAAGATGAATTCTACAGCGCCAGTGAGGTAACACCTAACACCTCTTCAGAAATCCAAAAACAAATATCGGAAGAGGACGGTTATGCAGAATTTCAAACACCTAAATTATTTATGTCGGATTCAGATGATCAAATGTTAACTCAATTAAATTTGGGCAAAGAACAGAGAACTCAAAATTCCCGCAAAGTAATGGAAGCCTTGGGACGATCCGAAAGTAAAAATACAGAAGAAGAAGTAACCGAATCGCTCGCTGAAGTGGAAAACGAACAAACCATACCGGATAATTATTACATGGCTGAAATCCTAGCACAGTCCGACGAGGATGGATTGTATTCAACAGTATTGAACAAAATCCGAGGTAAAGACGCTGCGACTGTAGCGTTAAGCATGGAAGAAGACGATATATTGAAAATTATATCCAGACCTAACGTCGAGGAGTTTTTAAAGTACATGAAAATTATATTGGAAGGAACAGCAGTGAAAATAAGCACTCACGAAAGCTCAAATTTTACAAGTACACCGACTGAATTAGAACATGCTATCCACGCTCTTCATTCGTTAGCTTGGAGGTTTGTCGATGAAACCGAAAAGGCTCAAGTCGCTGAATTAGATAGAAAAACTATCGAAAATGTTTCAAACTTAATGACCGCTATTAATGCTAGTTTGTTAGCGCTAGAACAATTCGACGATCCGTTCGGAGTATCGGACAATATATTTAATGAAATTCAATCGTCGATTCGTTTCGACTTAGAAACGATTAATAATTCAAGTATGTCAGCCGAACAAGTATTAGATAGTCTATCGGAACAAATAAATAACTTCACATCTATCGTGAACCGACAGGTGTCGCAGGTGACTGAACAGCGAATTATTGCGGTCTTACGCAACACTATTGGAACTACGTTAGTTTATATAAAAACGTTACAGCAAAATTCTGCAAAAATAAAAATAATAGAACCCAATTTACTGGTGCCGCTATTTTCTATGATCCAACCACTCGAGGTTATTTTAAACGATATAATGTCCATCGAAGACACACCTCAGGACAAAAATGCGACAAACACAAAATTAAAGCAAATGTTAATACCGCAAATCAGTTCAATCGCATTTTTTTTGGACAATCTGTGTGCTGTGTTTCGTAATAAAAACCTTGAGGAAGATCAAGATTTAAAAAATCTTTTTGAAAGAATTAACGACGCTGCTATTCAGTTCATGTCTTTGGCTTCACAAGGGGCAAAAAGTAATAGCTTAGCTGAGTGTTTCATTATGTTCACCAAGCCGATAAACGATTTGTGTTGTCATCTAAAGAGACTCGGTAGATCGACGGAAAACATCGTGTCGTCAGATTACGGATCCGACGATAAACTCCTAATGGATTTCGAGACATTATTCGATGAACTAATGGTGGACATTGACACCTTGGTAAACAACGTGAATACAGTACGCGATTTCGAGAATAATGTAAATCCACTTAGTAGCTTATTGGAACCTTTGCAGGATATGAAAATCGGTTTGTTCCAAGTTAATCAAGTGCTCTTAGCCAATCATACTGGTTCGAACATGAGTTATGAAGTAATCAGTTGTTTCGAGAATTTGTCACAACAACTTAATCAGCTAAACAATTGTATTATCAATCAGTCAATCGTAGAAGAATCCGATAAAGAGATGCCGTTCGAGACGTCTATAAAAATGATGCAGAGTATACTTTTCGACGATGCTATTGACGATTTAGGTGTCAACGGAATACTTTTTGGCAGTGTGATGAAACCGTTGTTGCAATTGCAAAACTTAATCGTAACAAAAATGGCGTCCGTCGAAAGCGATCTTAGCTTTTCGGATCAAACCGACTTGACGGGCGAAGCGTTTAGTAATCAATCGTTGAGTTGTTCATCACACAATGCTTTGAAAATGAAAGAAAACGAACACTGTATAGATGATAAAAACGATTCATCGTCAAAAGACAGTGTGGGACAAATTACGGTAAAGAGTAACGCTGAATTATGCGAAGAACCTTCAAGGACAACGACCCAACACGTTTCCAATGACATAGTAAACAACGAAGAACCGATTTACGCTAAAAATGTCACCTGTGATATTGTGGCCGCGTTCAAAGACGAAGAACCAAATATAATACTGTCCGAAGAAGAGAATAACAACCAAGGATTGGACGTGCTATTCGAAACAGAAGAGTCAATTCAAATTTTAGAGTCTAATTTACCATCAAATCAAGTAAATTCAGAAAATTTGTTGGTTGCTGAAAATAGTGAACTCGTAGATACTACAATGGTGACAGAATCGAATATAAATGATATTTGTCAAGAATATCCACCAGAGTACATTCCAAAAGATGCATTATTACAATTAGATGAAAATTCTCCAAATAAATCTACTACAGTTGAACTGATTGACGAAGTACAAAATGTGTTACAAAAAATAGCGGAAGATCCAGATTTAACCGAAGAAGTTGTAGGATTTCCATCTGAAAATGTAAGTTATGAATCTGTAATTGAAGGTTTAAAATGTTCCATTAGCACTTTGGAAAAGGATAATGATTTGATAGTGGAACCGCCTGAAACAGATATTTCTATTGACGATATTTCTCAGGTAGAAAGTAATAAATACAGTAAACCTATTGGAATTGAAGATTTAAACAATAAAAATGAAAAAGCATTAAACAAAGATGAACTCGAATTATTAGTAGATTCACCTGAACATGAAAATACTATTAATAGAATTGAATCCAAAAATGAAGATTTACAAACAGAAGAAGACGAAAACATTAATAAAGAATCTACAAAACATATTAAAGAAGAAAAAATTGACATTGTACAAAATATAGAAATTGGTCAAATTTCAACCGTTACTCAAAATATAAGTGTTGAGCCAGTTACAGCTGAGTACTCATTTGAAAAAACAGAAGACAACAATAACATGACTGGTTCGCAAGAAGTTAAACTTGAAGAAACCCTAAAAGAAATGTGTGTTGAAGACTCAAATTCAATTGTGGACAATTCACTAGAAAAAGCGTTTAATAATGGTACAATTAATGCTGCTTCTACAGATATACTGCAAATTGAATTAGTCAGTGACATGTCTACTAATACTATATCTAGTGATGGTTCAAAAGAAAATGTACTTAGTTCCACAATAAGTGTTGATCTGCAAGAAGAAATTAACCAAATCGAAGAAGTAGGAGAGTTAAACGTTTTAGACAAAAATCAGTTAGAATACAATTTACAAAACATTAATTATAAAGGTGAAGTTGAGATTGAGGAAATGGAAACCAATAAAACAGCTACAAGCACTCAAAATCAAATTATACAGTTAGGAAAACAAAACTATGGACAGTTGCCTGAAACTGAATTACAGGATATTGTGAGTGACACAAGTAAGATTAATGATAATAGTGCGACGGCCATAGTCGTTGAAGAACAAAACGAATTGTTAAATGTTATTTTTGGAAAAACAACTCCTTCTTCTGACGTTGTTAAAATATTGGATGTTAAAGAAGGAATATCTGAAACTGTGGAAATTACTAACAAAAATGTAGTAGAAATCATAGAGCCGTCATTAGAGTTGAATACAATATCTGATGAAAGTATCTTAAGTACAAAGGAATTGCAAGAAAAAGCATGTGAATCGACTGTTGATGTTAAATTGCCCAGCGAACAGGCTAAGTTAGAAAATTCTGAACTCAATAAAAATAGGCAGCTAGTTCAATCAGAAGAAATAAACAAGGAATTTCAAGAAAATGTTGGTTTACTAGAAAATGAAGCTGAAAACTTGATTAATTCAAGCAACGACGTTTTTAATATTGAGTCTCAAAAAGTAATTCAATCTGAAGACTACAATGCATCAAATACTCAAGCACTGCTGGATAACAATCAAGCGAATAAATCAAAAAATTCTAATGAAGCTATTGAGAAAGTAATATTCCCGGTCACGGATGAAAAATCACAGCAACTCCAAGAAAGTCTTCTTGAAAACTCAAAAATTAGTAATAGGACTGAGGAAAATAATATTAAGGATAACACTAATTTAGAACAGATATTATTATCCAGTAAAACGAATGTCGAGCTCAGCAATAATTTACTAGAAAGTACTAGTGAGAATATCGATAGCAGTTTGAATCAAAAACAAATAAAAGAAACAGAAATCATTGAGAGTTCACAATTTGTAGTAGCTATCATTGATAATATAAAAGCTCCAAATGAAAGTTTTATAGAGAGTGGAACTGACGAAAATAAAGACGAATGTGTAAATATAATTTGTGAACCAAAAGCTTCTGATATTACCGAAATAAGAAACATAACAAATACATTTACGGAAGAGTTTAGTGACATTTCTAAAAATATCAAAAAGAAATTGGCAGTTTCAAATGATACCAAAGAAAATGAAATTGAGCCTCATTTGTACAAAGAAACACAAGGTAATCGAGGTTTAGAAGATGTTATTGATGGTGAATTAACAAGAGAAGATAAACTAACAAACCAAGGGGAATTGAGTAATACTGAAAACATTTCAGTTGGAAATTACTCGGATATGATTAAAGAATCAGCAGAAACTGGGGCTAGTGGAAATGTTAGTGATACAAAAGATTCAAATACGGTTACAGTACTTAATAAAAATGAAATAGTTGATTCTGAAGCAGAGAAAACGCCTTTATTAATCGACCTGGCTGCGGATGAAAATAATTCTGAAAAACGAATGATATCTAAAAATAACACTGCGTCTATATCTATAGATGGTAATGTTGATAAAATTGAAGTTGTTAAGAGTGCCATCATACACAAAGAACATATTGACGAGAGTGTAAAAATAATTGAAAATGAGCCTCAGCAAGTCAAAAGTCAAACGTCAACAATACATGATGAAATTATAATACCTGAATACAATGAGTTAACCGAAGAATATCAAACAGATATAAAACCACTCAAAGGTGAAGATACAAACCAATTGGCAGATACTGCCAAAATAGTTAAAGTCCAAGCATTTAATGATTTAAATTCGGGCAGTAACGATAACATTTTATTGGACAAATTAACGGTTAAAATGAAAGAAATTGAATACAGTGTTACCGAAGATGATAATGATGATGACTTAATTGAATCCCCGAAAAACATAGACAGCACTGTGGTTATTGAAGAGGTGACATTAGATTCAATAATAGAAGAAAAGGAATTTAATGAAAATGAGTTCACAGAAATTGAAACTGACAACTACAATGAAAATAATGTTGAACGACCAAATGAGGTCGTCGAAGCAAAGCAAATTACTGTTGTAGAAAATATTTCTGAGTCAGATGAGACCCCCAGTAATAAAATCGATAAACAATTGTATAGTACAGCAGTTATAAATTCACATGAAATTAATGATGCGCTTGGCCAAAACGAAGAAGTAGTTGATGAAAATGAAATTACTAACTACGCGTGTAAGCAGCAATCTAATATAGTGTTCGAAGAAAATCCAGCTTTGATTAGTGATGAAATTGTTTTACTTGAGACCGCAAAACCATTGAAAGTTGTAGATGACAGAACAGAGTTTAACAAACACGAAGGAAAATGCGTTCAAATATTGAAAAAATCCTTATTGGTAAACATTATAAATCCTTTAGTGGAGTCAAGACAAAATATTAAAGAAAGTGAAATTAAAGTAAAATCCATACAAAACGCGACGAATGAACAGTGTGATACAAGTTTTAAAACCGTTCAAAATGAGGAAAACAAACGGGATAACTTGTGTCTTAATGATGACAGTTTTCCAAATAAAAACGTTATTAACGAAGAAGTAAAAAAGTCTGACTCTAAACACGTAGAAACTGACGAAGTTGTTCCATTTGTGAAAGAAGTAACGGAGAAAGATAACAAAAACAATTTAACAGTTGGTAATAAGTTAGTCAATGCCATTGATGATACTCAAAATGACTCTTCCACGCCTGCAACGATAGAGAACAAAGATATTGCTATAGAACAAAAAACTGAAGAAATCGAAAATAATAAATCTAAAGATCAAACTTTATTTCAAGATCAGAATATTGTACGAAAAGTAGACGAGGACGTGAAAGAAACCGATTTTAAGAGATTGAATGATTTAGTTCTAAATACAAATGCAAAATCTGTGGTGATAACAGATAATGACGAAAATGAATGTGTTGTTGAAAATGAAAAATATGATATAACCCCATCGTCAACAGCGATTGCCGTCAGTTGTGAATCTAACGAAGATATCACTTGTAAAGTGATTAAACAATCTTTAGTAATATTGTCTATGCCATATGAAAAAATGGATGATGTTAAATGTGAATTTGCCTCAGAAGTTCCACTTAACGATTTATCAATTAACGCAGATGTCAAACCTCAGAAAATAAATTCGCATTTACATCAAGTCGAAAGTCTTGCTGCAACTAAAAACGAATGTGTTCTATTAGAAAATGCAGAAGCACTGGAGCAAAATCAAACTAGTTCTATTAAAAATTTAGTTGATCGTGCTACAGTGGATCAAGAATTAAATAATGCAGCAATTGGAAATACAGTGATTTTGTACGAAAATGCTGAGGATTGTAAATTGAAGGATGATAATGTGCAAACACTTGCAAAGGCAGTTTTAAGTATAGCAGACAGTGAAATGAATTTATTACTTGAAAAAACAATTACAGATGAAACACGAATGGCAGAACAAGAAAATCACAAAGACCAACAAGCCGATAAAAACAAAGGAGTTAATAATGAATTAATATCTGTTACCAATTTAGATGAAATCGAAAATGATGAGACTGATGATATTGAACAGAAATCAGGAATGGAGACCAACAACAACGCATTATCCGACCAATCTCAAATAAAAGAAATTGTTGAAAAATCACACGAATCACAAAAAGATAACACACAGTCTTCTGATTCGATTGAATTAGAACATGTTAATGTTGCAACACATGACACAAATATTGTCAATAATGATAATATTTCAAAAACATGCGTAGAAAAAAGTGAAACGTCGGTTGTACAAATAAGTGATAACGAAGATAACCAGTTAACGAATGACACTGTTAATAGCCAATATGAATCAAAGGTACCAATTATCAAAAAAGACATTTCAGGAAAAAGTGTTACTAAGGCGCCTGAAATTAAAAAAGAAGAAAATCTGATGAAAAATGAAGATCTTGTGAATAACACTATTGAAATAAACGAAGAAACAAAACAGAATTCAGACAAAAAACTAAAAAAGTTAGGGGGCGATGATGAAAAAAGTGAAGTTCAAGAGGAAAAATTAGAGAACCAACGTAAAATGTCTAATGATATTTTACAAGATAAGAACAAGAAAAGTAGTATAAAACGAAAAAATAGCCAAAAAGAAGAAATTAGCAAATCACTATCATCTGAGAACAACATTGAACCATTGGTGGTAGAAAATAAAGACGGAAAAAAACTCCCAGAAGGTCCAGTTAAGACGAAAAAAGAAAAACAAGAGAAACAAGTGGTATCAACAACTGACACAAAAGAAAATGAAGATTTAATCAATAAAGCCTACGATAAAAAAGAAAATAAAACTATAGGACGGGAAAACAATAAATTAGAATTATCGATCCAAGATCAAGAAAATAGTTTTGTAAAAAACAAAAATATTGATATAAAAATTGAGATATCAGAGTCCAACGGTGTAGAAAAACAAGTCAAGGATGAACAATTGTTATCAGAAACTGTACTAATTAAAAAAGACGAATGTTTAATAATGAAGGAAAATCTTGTAAATGAAGGAAATGTCAGTACTGAAATTACAGATTATATCGAAACACAACTGAAGCCCAATAAGGACGAAAAGAAACCTGATAGTGAAAGTACTAAAAATGATACACCAAAGCGAAAAAGTATAAAAACTGAGTTTAAATCAGAAAGTACTAAACCTGAGCCAAGTGACCAAACAGTACAAACATCTAAAAAAGAAGAAGCTCAAGAAAAACCTAAATCAGAAAATACAATCGCGTCATCTGAAGTTATAGATGACACTTTAGAGTTAAGTAGCAAAAAGGATTCTTTGATAACGAATGAACCTAAAGAATATAATATCACAAGCATGTGCGAAAATTCGTTGAACAGTAGTAATCTACAAAAAAGCGACGTTAAATCATCAGAATTCAAAGAAAATGACGATTCAAAAATTAAGGCTAAAACTAGTGTCAAAACCAAAAATAAATCTGATAAAACTACAAAAGATAATAATAAGCGTGGAAGTATAAGAAAAAACTCAAGCTCAAAAGTAGAAGTACAAAATTCTCCATCGCCAGAAAAATCAGAAAAATCTGATAACAAAATTGGTGAAGATATAACTGCTGTTAAAGATAATCTTTTGGAACAAGAAGAAAACAATGAAATTGATTTACAGAAACGACAAATTTCAAAATTAGAAAAAGGAAATTCTTCAACTCTAGATAAAGCAATTGGACAGGATACAAATAGGACACTCGACAATATGAATTTATTAATTGATTTAACAAAATCTACCGAAGTAGAAAACAAAGAAAGTTCAATAAAGTTAAATGAAAAACACGGTAGCACAAGTAGCAATGAAGTAGGAACTTCTGAAGTACAAGTCAAAACTGATGATAGATGCACAGTCGAAGTAATGAGTGGTGTTGAACCGATAAAAGACAGAAAAGAAAAAGGAAGTAAGAAGAAGTCAATAATATCTGAGTTAACCTCTGACCAGAAAAACCAAGAGATCCCAAATGATCATTGTTTAGTTCAAACTACAACGGATAAACTATCACCTGAAAAAGTTGTAATTGGAAAACAAGAAGACTTATCCGATACTAAAACCATAGATGAAAAAGAGTCAAATGAGTATAAAACCACTATAGATAACGCTGATTTGAGTGGTGCGGAAAAAATAATTAGTTTAAAAAAGATAAGGCGAAATTCAAAAGTGATTACAACTGACAAAGAAAACGTGACTTCTAATGATTTCGATATTGTACACGACGAAGGATCACACTGTCCAGGCAATGAACACCTTAGGGATCACAACGATGCTATCGTATATGAAAAATATCCAAACGCCTGCGAGGGTTCACACAAACCTAGCAGTAACATAACGTGCGACGTAGATGAATCTAAAAAACATCGGTCGTATAAATTGCATGACTCCGAACACTATAGCCGTGATCTTCATGATCAAATTGTTAGATCAAAAAGTGTAAACGATCGAGTTAGGATATCAAAAACCGATAGAACACCGTTTAGGATGTCTGTTCAACCAGATTTCAAAGAAAGATTTAGCCACGAACCGAACAAACCTATGGCGAATAGTCACTTGAGCGTACCAGACATGTCTTATAAATATTGTACGACGCCAACCAAATATAGATCACTCACACCAGAGCCGTGGCACAGCGAACGTAAGTACACTTACTCCACCGAAAGAGAATTATCGACCGATAGATACCTCAGATCGCCCAGTCCTTATTGCGCCAGTGAGCCATCAACACGCTACATGAACAGTTATAAAAGTTTGAGCTCAGAGCCATACTCCAAGCGATATTATTCTCTATCAACGTACCGGTGTCCTTCGGAAACAACAATAAGGTACAGGTCCGAGGATGAAAACTTGTACACAAGATACGGCATGCGAAGACGAATCGGTTCGGACAGTAATCTCCATCAATTTAGTAGACGAGATAGATCTTATCACACCACTTGGAGAACGTTAGATAGATCACCAGTTTCGACGACCAGATTGAACGATGATTTGTCTCACAGCAAAGTAAGTCACGGTCGTTAAATAACCCATTGAAGTATAATGAAATAATAAATGCTGCCTACTTTTTTTCCCCATAGGAAATGTTTAAACGGCTTTACTTCTGCGTTCGTTTAGTCGACCAGAACGTACCGTCGAGTTCCAGAGTAAAGTTCTGGTGCTGCGTAATAGGCTATCCAGAACCTCGGGTAGAATGGTTCAGAGAAGGTCAAAAATTAAACTGTTTCACTTATAACGCTTCCAAAAGGTATGAGCATAATATTATGAGAATTTTTCTTCTTTTGTAATGAATAAAATGCCTACTAAATGGTTTGTAGGTACCAAATTAAGTACGATAACGGAATAGCGCAGTTGATAATTGAAAACGCGCGGAACTGCGATTCTGGTGAATACACTTGTGTGGCGATGAACACCCAAGACAGAGTGACTACTACCGGGTTCTTAACGGTGTATACTTCTCCGACAATATTTGGAGGGTCACCGGCGAGTAAATCCCTGACGTCTTCTTATTCGGTTGATGGGTATACGTCGAAATACGTCGATAAGTTATACGTGTGGAACAGTGATGACCTACGGCAAAAAACTAAGTATGACTGGCGTTCGTTCGACGAATCGCCTAGATATCCCAAGTTCATGAGCAGTGTTATTGCTGATAACATAGCAACCTACGGTGGTACCATTGCACTTCAAGTACGGGTCCAAGGTTAGTAAAAACCGATTTTTTTTTCCATTCGCTCAACTTCAGTCGGAAGTATCCGAGTGAAATAGAATTAAGAACAGTTAATAGGAAGTTTAACGTGTTGGTCTAATTTAATCTGCAGGGACACCGCTGCCAAATATCACTTGGTTGAGAGAGTCAAAGCCACTACCGCGTACGTCCAACAAGTACATTTACCTCGACGAGGGCGGCCTGTACACGCTGTTAGTAAAAGAAAGCACCATCGGAGACAGCGGTACTTATGTGTGCAGGGCGTGTAATTTGTACGGCAGTGTCGACGTCGAGAAAAGCATCAAAGTCGTTTCACCCCAAGACTATTCCGGTCACAAGAACGTGAAACCTGCGATTATCGTGTCCAGGCCTAAAGATCGGATGAGCGTAGCAGTAGGCGAAGATATCACGGTCACGCTCAGAGTAGCCGGCGAACCTAAACCCAAAGGTTTGTCAGCTTGATCGTTGATCGATAGTTATTTATTATTTTCGTCATGTCCAATATAAATTGGGCCGACTAGCCAAATACTCTTCACTTGTCACTATTGCTTCGTATACCTTGCCTTCAGTCCTTAATTGTCTTATATAATTGATTTAAAATACACTTTCTCTACTATATATCCCTCCAACCAAATAACACGTGTTCTTTATCGACTTCCTGTCAATACGATTGCTATTTAAACGTAATAGAAAATATGATTAAATTATTTAAAAATAATGAATTTTTACAATTGCAGTAATTTGGATGAGAGGCGCTAGAGACGTAACGTTTTTGGATAGATCTTCCAAAGAAACGGTTAACGACTACGTTAAGCTGTCGATAAAACGAGCGCAGTTGTCCGACGCTGGGACTTACTTCATTGTCGCCAAAAACATTTACGGGTCGGACAGAGCATTTGTGACAGTCGGGGTAAGTGATCGCTTGAGGATTTCGCCGAACAGCTAAAGAGAAAACGTGTATACAACTTTTGTAGATTATTTATGTAATATAATAATGTACATTCAACTTATAATAAAGCCGACCTAAACATTTGAGTTTTCTGTACTAATAAAATTAACATGCTATATCAAAACATACTCATTGTATTTCAGACATTAGTTAACATAACAATATTTTGTGCACATATTATATGTTTAATATAAGAGTGTGACCTTCTGCGGCTATTAGAAATAATGTGTTTTCCATGACGAACGTTGTATACCGCGCACCTAGTAAGGCATTGCCTCCCATTGCAAAAATAGTTCATTCGACATCATCCGAATTATAATAATATGAACGCGAATAATTGGTGGTTGATGTTATCAAAAAACATTGATGTGTTTGTACTTTCTTTTTTTTTGTTATACAAATTATGAACCGAAAACTACAGCAATGTTTTGACTGTATATTTTATTATTTTTATTGAAAATAAACTAAGTCAACATGTTTTTTATAACATACTATATACCTATAGGACGACTGTGATAGTTATTTTTAGATATATTTGATGTAATTTGCATATCTGACCATAGTTTTGTAAAATAATTTCAATTTTTTGTTATAGCCAACCATTATTTTAGGCTGCACACTATTTGTATTCGTTTTATAACTTATAATGTATTGTACCTCATACATTGGAATGTAATTGATATTATATTAATTGTTGATTTCATTCGAGTTTATCAAGGCTATTGTTTCGTTTGCATATCATGAAAAAATGCGTTGATGCATTGTGTACTTTGTATAATTATGTATTAAATCAATATAAGTAACAAAAAATTAAAGGAAATATACTTATCCATCTTGTTTTATTGTTTTTTATTTATTTGAACAAATAAAATATGTAATTTGGATCTTATATTATAATAACTAAATTTAAGTCCAAATGTATTTCTTGTTAGTGTCAACACTATTTTTATATTATGTAGCTGTCGTTTTACAGCCAAAACAAAAGAAATAAAACATATTCCTTTAACTCACAATAAATGCAATAACTCTAATTACCATAATTAGTTTGTAGGACATGTGATTTTTTCTAGGCTCTAGTACATCCGAAACCTGGTTGTATGAAAAATAAACTTGAGGTGAGAATATAAATAGTGTACTTTGTCAGAGAACGCACATCTGAAAGTTAAAACTGAAAGTTATATTTAGAACGTTTTAAATCTGTTTGAAATTTAAAGCATTCATATTACAACAGAAGTCTGACTATGCCAGAACTTCAAATGGACATGGTAGAAAGAGTTTTAGGTATTTTTTTTTCAACAATTCTGCCTTTTAATGCAAGATGTCTGTTGTTTTTATGTAAAATCTAATAAAATAAACTTAAAAATACGTTAGTATATTATAAACAATATATATTTTTAAGTTATAAAAGTTACATTGTTAGTAATCTATGAATTTGTATTGTTAAATAATTCTCATCATCTTAAAACGACTAAATTATGCGATTGATAAAGTATTTATTTACGTCAAATTAATTTTTCACTAAACTAGTATTTACGGTTATTGTACAATGATCAAGTACGGCTAATGTTAATTTTGTATAGTATTGGATCACAATGTGTAAGACAAATGATACCTAGCAAAAACGCAAACAACGAAAACATCTGATAAACAATACTGTTCCATCTTCATTAAAATATGTAAAATAACAAAGAAACTACATATTTTAATTAATATTAAGCAATATAAAAGTTAATAGTTAGTACTTACGGTTCAACTAAGACTAAAACAATACAAAACATTTAACAATGTATTTTAAGACTCCAAAAAGTACGTTTTGTTTAAAATGTATAGCAGTCAAAAACAAAACTTATTATTTACATTACAGTTATTTCGCTTGTAAAATAATTTTATAAAAAAACTGTGCGTATAAATTATCTATATGTGCGCCGTAATTTGAATATAACAGCTTCGATAATATTTAGATCATCTATGCTTTTAGAATTGAAAATGCTATTTACTGTATATATAATAACAAGCACTGCGTCATATACTTATTAAACTGGATGATAAGTCAAATTGTTTTTGAACAATTTCAACCATCGTATATCACCGATGTTGGATAATCATAATATCTAGTTATAACTCAACTTATGAAAAATATTGTTTTTAACGATTTTGTTACGTTTATTGAGATGGACCGTGATTTGATAAACGCGTTTTTATTGATATGGAATCAAAAAAACTCTAATTAAATTTAATTGGAAATTATATTTTATATTTTTGGTCTAAAAGACTAAAAAGGAAAATAGTTTTTTTAAATTTTCTATAACAGCCCCCCATGCCAGTAGATTTATCGTTAAATGGCATATTTTTTTTTATAAAAGGTTATGGATATATCGCCATGTATGAGATAAATATTAGTAGCTCGCTTTACCTAAAACTCGAGATCAGAATTTTAGATTAAATTTTTTACAGTTATTATCAGTGATAATAACTGTAAAACTCGAAAAATACCAAGCTTTTCAATAGGATGGTATATAATTTAATTTATTTTGCTTTATTTTTTTTCCACTGTTTGAATGCATATTAAAAGTATAAAATTCAGTAACAGCATAGGAAAAAAAACTTCCTGGGAAGTGAATTTACAAAGTAGAAGTGTATTTTTTGTGTTTAGGTAAGGAATCGGGCGAGATCACTAACGCCACCGCGGATCAGAAGCACCGGCGGTCGATGGCCAAAAGACGGACATAGTTATTATTATGACGTGAACGGTAAGTGACGAACGGCTTTTTTTGTGGAATGGGAACGCAGGGTGGGCGGGATAGGGTAAAAAGATACAAATATGAGACAACATTTATTTTTGGCACTTTGTCGAGGACTACCACGTCTGCGCTTTATTTTTAACACTAGTCCGGTGTCAACGGGTTACGCGTTGCCACATCTGTGGCATTTTTCTGAGTCGAAAAATAAAACAATCGTAGTGTACAGTTTTTTTTTTTAAATATACATAATAACATACTCGTTCGTGCTTTGCTAACTATAAGTATTTGTAAACAAACCGGTACGAACATGGCGGACTCCGATAACGCCGGCGGTAACGTGCAGCTTTTGCGAAACCGTTGGATTAAACGCGGCACGGACACTACTAATTTTCTATTGTACTTATGCGAGCACCAAGGTATCGGCCTTTGTCGTTTTTTTAGCGACCAGGATAAACACAACTGTTTTGCGTTATTGCAGAGGTCCCGGGCCCGGTCCAGGGCGAACCGAGGGTGTCGGACAGAGGCAAAAACCGCGTAACGCTGGAATGGGACAAACCGGCCGTGAGGTCCGAGGCCATTTTGGTGTACAAGGTGGAAGCTTGGTCGGACGACGACGCCGGGTGCTGGAAAGAGGTAAGATTTAGAGTAAAAAATCGTCAAATAAGGTACAAAAACGGTTTGTCGTCGTGCAGGTCGGTATGACTGCGGCGAATAATTTGGACGTGTACAACTTGAAACCGGAAACGGGATACAAATTTCGAGTGACCGCTCGCAACAGGTTCGGATGGGGCGAGCCGGCGATGACATCAGACTACGTGGTCATGGATGAACCGGAACGTTTGCCCGAATTCGTTCAGCCCTTGCCCGGAGAAACAAAAGTGCTGGTCAACGACAGCGAAACGCTACACTGTCACGTGAGTGTGGTTTGCTTGCAAATACGACATTACCGTTATTATCGCGTGCCTTGTCCGGCGATTTCACAGGTGCGCGGCACGCCAAAACCTCAAGTCAAGTGGTTCAAAGACGGCGAGCTGGTGACTGGGAGGTACGCTCAAGGGTACACGGAAAGGGGTAAGTGCACGTTGACGATAACAAACGCCGGAGACGACGACGGCGGACGGTTCGTGTGCGAGGCCACCAACGACCAAGGAAGGATTTGCACTTACACGGTGGTAGAGGTGATCGCCAACAGCGAAATCGTAAAAGCAGAACGTAGACTTCACGAGTAAGTGGGCATTATTGTTGTTTTATAAAAAAAAAAACTCCAAGCATACAAGATTGTATAAAACTGTAAAAGCTTTAAAACAAAAAGCCCAAAATATGATAACTAGTACTAGTTTCTTGTGTGCCTACTTAAACTATGTACCTCTAATTGAAATAAAACGTTATTGTTTTTGATCGCATATTATGTGATTTTTCTTATAACATTAAATAGTTCAAGAAATTCGAATCGTTAATTCTGTTAACGATAATAATGTAAATAAAAAATATAACTAGCGCAGATTATAAAAATCACGTGTTCGTATGTTGAATTAATGTTTGTAGTTGGCAAATATTCAATCGAGTAAACAAACCCAATTAACAGACTCTCATAATCCGATTTAATGACATTTATCTTGCCACATATTAGGTTCGTGACAGTTGTGCGGTTTTAAAGATGGATACAAATTAAACATACAACTTTTAGTTAGAATATTACTAAATTTTATTAAAACACAATGAAAATAGTATTGAACTTTAGCATTACACTAATTAAAGCCGTTCCGAAATAACTGTAAAATATTTTTTTTTAATTATCACAATCATTAAAAAACACCATTTGATGACTTCCTAGTCAGTAATCCTGCTATTCGAAATTTATCTAGACTATCTTATTTGATTAGTTTGAAATATGTTTAGTTTTTAATTGATGCGATATAATTTTGTTTATAAACTTTTGACGTTTTTCCCGAATAGATGTCTCATGAAAGATAACGAGTACTTAGAAATGGAGCCTAAGTTTACTAAAAAACTAATTAACCGTCGGGTCGAAGCCAACGAAACTGTTCGGCTGTCTTGTCAGGTGACTGGGTTGCCGGTGCCATCGGTGTCGTGGAGCAAAGAAGGTCGACCGGTGGATTTCTCATCGGGTGAGAAGACGGAACCGTCTCAGAATGAAACTCGAGGGTGTTTTTTTATGTAAATCTATGCCTTACAGGTCATATAAACGTAAGTCAGGACTCGGATAATTTCTGTACGCTGGAACTGGTCGATGTGAAACCGGACGACGACGGATCCTATACGGCAACTGCATCCAACGCATTGGGGTCGGTGTACACTAGTTGCATTTTGGAAGTGATCAACAAGCACCGTGGAGACCCTCCGGCTCCTGAATTCCTGTTTGGTCTTCCCGACAGTCTGGAAGCCACAGACGCCATAGCGCTTAGCGCGCAAGTCGACGATTTTCGTCCCGTCAAAGCCGAATGGTGATTACTATAAATCAATAAATTAAATAAAGCAGACTGCGGTCATGACTCATGCCATAACAGGAACCGTGACGTATAACGTTAATTTTGAATAATTGCTTTGTTTTTTTTTTTTGAGAGAGTCATCACAGACCATCAAGACATTTTGCTGCCAAAACTAAATTCCTCCATTATTCTCTGTCATAGCATGATCCAAATTTCCGGTTCGATTTGCATAGCTTCTGCCACGTCTCAATGTCACCTTAATTTACAATTCATTCTTTGGCATGTTTCTCATCTAAAGGTCCCGAGTCATTAGTATCCGGGAGGGCATAAAACTTTTTACAATTACAAACTGGGTTGACATTTTATCCATTACCATACTTTTGGCATTGTGGCTATACGTTTGTATTAATTATAGCAGGAATTCCAAACTTTTCCATGTAGCTTTATATTACCTACTGCGTTGTATACCACTATAGGTATTCTAGAAAAAAAACCAAACGTTATTAAGGTATGTTATTGCTTAGGTTCAGAGACGACGTTCAGCTGAGAAACGGACGGAGGGTGGACATCGTTACGGATCATGATGGCAAACTAGAACTTAGGATCGCCGAGGTCACAAAACGGGATTCGGGTGTTTACACTTTGAGGGTGTCCAACGACAACGGTACGGTGAAGAGTTGTTGTGACGTCACCGTGAATGAACGCAAACACAAGCACTTAAGTGATCTACCTATATCGTCAACGACGGAACTGTGAGTGCTAATTTTGACATAACGGTTAACAAACCGACTGACAAACATTGATACGCAGATATTCGAAGATACCAAAGTTCGTGGTGAAACCCAAATTCCAAGAGGTCGAAGAGGGAACCGAGGTGATCATTGATTCAGAAATAGTCGGCGATCCGGTGCCAAAGGTCACGTGGCTTCGGGACGGATTAAAGGTACCCAAAGTTGAGAATTATTATCATAGGTTCTATTCGTTTCCTCATGTGGATTTAACGCTAGATTTGGTAATATGTGCAAAGCGTATGTAAAATATACATGAAGCATTCGCAATCATCACAACCATCAACGGTCCAATACTTCAATTATTATAGTTACCAAAAGAAAGTGAGCGCTTTATTCCAGCTTCAAAACAAAAAAAATATACTTATTAATCAAGCGTACTATATTCCCGATTTGAAGGGAGGAAAATTGTTTGGTTATTTTTGTGTCAATATTAGTGTATTTTAGGCATTAGGTCAGGCCAAGGCCTACATAGCCTGTCTCGTGCTTTTGCTCGTGACTATAGAACTAGTATTATTCAAAATTCCACGACCATTAGCCGTTGACATTGTAATGCACTTCATTAATGAAGGAATGAAAACTTTCTGCGCGTTCCCTACGGTCTCTTTAATGTTTGAACAAAAAAATGACCCGACGCTTCTGGTTTTTTTTCTCATTTTGCATATACCTTGTGTAAGTATGCATGTGTAATGTTGCGCTTTAGATATAATATGGCGCGTTGAACTGAACAAATCCTTTTCTGGACGTTGTCCAGCGCGACCGCACTAATAGACTGGAAAAGAGTAGGCACTCCTCACGGCGGCATAAACTATTAGACTACTCGACCTAGTCTCGTTTTCCCGCGGCACCGGGTCCCGTTTCAACTGCGAATGACTGTTAGTGTTTGTATTAACTCCTATACCAACGGAATGCACAACCAAAAGGTAAATAATGACAGTCGCCTGAAAGTTATCTCGGCGGTTGACAGAAGTCACGCACAATTATCCGGGTAATATACTGTTAATTGGGCCCATATTTGGAACCATTGTGAAACCAGACTTCCATCCGCTCAAAATCTCTGTTGTCCCCAGCGGTCGCCGTCAGATCTATGGAAATCGTCGACTCAACACTGACATCGAAAAATCGAGAAAACCATATACTTACGTCTGAGTAACGTTATAAGATACCGACTCATTTAATCATGCACTTCGACAACTTAGCTTTGTTACATTGATATTAGACTTTCTGACAATAATTTACACAAAAAATGTATAACTAATGTTCTGAATAAATAAACTAACAGTTTAAATTTAATTAATCTCAAAATCGGCGAGCCATATAACCCATTAATTGTTTTATGTATAACTTATGGATAGATTTGATTAATTTTTTTCTAGAAACTGCTATGTAAATTTAATTCTATACTTATACTACACTGCCATGACCGTCATGAGCACCTAGTAGGACCACTCGGCTTATAATCGTATTACTACACCGAGGAATATGCAAGTGTCTATTGTGCGAAACAAGATTATTAGCTGTTGGATAATTTGCAGCAATCGTTGTACAATGGGCTGTGCACCCTAAACGGGCCGTCTCGGCGTGGGCGTTGCGATGTCAATTAATATTATTGGGTTTCCTTGAGTAATCTATTATAGAATAATTATTGTGCTTTGAAGACATCGCATCGTGTGTGGTAACACGGACGTGATCATTGTTTCGTCAAGTATATGGATATGATTTTTGCAAGGACCCCCCTCTTCGCACAAGGAAGTATGTAAGCAGTGGTACGAGGAAATAATATATTATCGAAGCATAGAAAAGGTGTCGATGCAAATGTCTCGTAACGCTCCCACACGCGCACCGGAGGCGCCGAGGAGCTGCCGATGACACGAGACGAAATAAATACCAGAAAATGCGTTTTCAAACGTCTCGATAAATTGATAAAATTCCTTAAATGCAATAATTGAACGATTTGTGCGTGTGTGAACACTATGCATGTAATGAGGAATGCGCACACATTGTTCCACACGTAAAAGAGTGAGCGTTTTGAAAATCGTCGAACGTGATGAAATTTACGAATACAATCCGGTGTGCGTACAGTGTACACCGGTAACAACAATAATAATAATATTCTTAATCGTACAATAATTATTATTATATATCGACATATTACGCGGGAACAACGCACTCATTGTTCTGCCGGAGACGTTAATTTGCAATCGAAATAACGTTCTATTATCGTTTAGATTTACATAACCGTAGTAGAAAAAAAAAACAATGGTCAACGTACGCAAACACATACATAACACATTTGCAATCGCGATCCGTCCACAATAGTTTTGGTGACAATGCTGTTTTATATTCGAATTTCGATATATTTTATTTTATTTTATTTTAAACATAACCGAACGAACCGGTAATCAATGCAATATTATAAGGCATAGGAAGTATTTTTTAAACGATTGAAACTTACCAATATTTCAACAAGTCGACCACTTGTTTATATAATTATCATTTTTGGAGTTATTTTAAAAGCATTGGCGGGAGCAGCTCCCGGAAGGAGCAATACACGGATAGCATGTATTATTTTCTCCTCTTTCACAGAAGCATTCAAAAACATATTATTGGATATCAGTTAATTACTAAACCGGCAACTGTCCTTACTTATGTCTAGTGTATAGTAATAGATTGCGAGTATTATTTTGTGTTATCTTTATGACTTGATTTCCGCCTTTAAATAGGTCATCCTGTCGGATGGACGTCTCTCTGTTTCCGTAAACGAAAATTATTGGGTATCAATTTATAACTCTGACGGTAAACGTCATTATCATCACCAGACGTATGTTATCTTATATGTATACACAACGCAGCCTGTACTGTCGAGTAGGGGGCGGTAAGGCCATGAAATATTATTATTATTATGTGTTAAATGCCTGGCGCCAAAACGGCACGACCATATTTAGAATTAAAAAATATTCCTAATTGAGTTTTTACATATGGTGGCGTACAATGACTCGACGAAACCGCGTACAAAAAATATTAAAATATTTAATGAAATTTAACAAGTGTTATTAACGATAAATCGATGACTAATGATAGGCTATACGTTATCCAAAGTGCGTGCACGGTGTAAGCATGTATTTATTAGGCTTACAATAATTTAGTTATACACCTATTAACGTGATACGAATATCCCAATCGTTGTTGTGCGTAAGCAAGGACGGGCTATGAACCAAAAATGGTTTACATATTCTATTATTATTATTACCGTTGGGCGATTTCGAAATCCATTATTTACAGGCGTCCATCAATGACGTCAGTGTTTATACACGGACGCCGCTAGAATCTTTGAAACTGACTGAAAGAATACCATAGCTATACCTTTGAAAACTGTCGTCGAGTAACAGTCTCTTGCTCTGGACGACTAAGAGTGTATAAAACAAAAAGTAATATTATTTAACTTATTACGGTATTTATCTTTTAAGTTAAAGTGTTAAAGAAAAAACGTCAAGACTATGTTTTTGTTTCAGGTTCACGTGGTATAAAACCATTCTACAATATTGTTGTTGTTTATAATAATCTAACCTTTTTCTCGTGTCTGTAGAGTATATACATTGAGTAATCATAAACATATAAATTTAGTATATTAATGAAAGAGCACCCCAGTGGTTAGTACGAGCGAGGTTGGAATGGCTAAGAAAAAAAATCCATTTCCATAGACACAGATAGCTCGCACTAAATTTCTCTCGAACCAGTTATTTCAGCCACTTGACACTGTTCCCAGGGTAAACGACATTAGATATAATAATATTATTAGACACCCAATATTTGTCGAGAATCCCACAGTAGGTATATTGTTGCAATTGTAATTAGTAAAGCAGATAAATGCCGTTGCAGAACGAATATCGGAGAAAATGCAATTTAGTCACGTAATGCAATTACTATTATTTGTTATTATTGTTGTTTTATTTTTTATCAACATTTTATGCACGTATGAATTACTCGTGTTGCCATTTTAATCTCGACACGCACACCGTACGTATTTTAATCGATCCGCACACAATGAGCCCCCGGGATGTAATATTTTTTTCTGTCTCATTGAATCGCGCCATTATCATATTTTATCGGTTGACAACAATTTTTTCTCAACGCGCCCTCCTACATTCGCTTTTAAAGTGTCACAAGCGATCCAGAAAAAAATCGTCCCCGGGCTGTTAGTGAAACAATATATTAATTACTATTGTAACACTAATACTAATAGAATTCATATATATACATATATTGTTTTCCGAACGCGTTCGAAGGTGTCCGGTAGTGTGCTGGTAGATTTATCGCGACTGTCACGATTGCCAGCAATCCGGGATAAATAGCGGAGTGCGTGTTAGCGCTGTACTTGATGTATACACACTCGCCTAGAAGTAAAAAAATTGTTTCACACGATAACAACTTTTACCTCCGAGGATGATAATCGTCACTATATAGTCCACGACGTGTCACGGAGGATTAATTTATATTAATAATATGCGTATACCTGTATATTATAAAAATATAATTTTATTTTTCCATTTTAAAACGACGTCCACACACACTTTGCACGACAATTAATGTGCATAACCATCTCTATAAATTTCACCGTCCTCTAGGATATAGACGGGAAGGGGGGGGGCTTCCCGTCCATATTATCCTTCTCTTGTTTAACACACCGGCTGCCGGTTGTCAGTCGTGCATAAAAAACGGCCAATACCTACACCACACTTTGACATGATTCGCTACCGTTTAAAAAACACCATGCAGACATCGTAGCTCCGTGCGAGTTTCTATTATGACAATAATAATATTGTTATTATGCTATTATTTCGCTATTTTCGAACACATGTTTTTTTTTTTTGAATAAATAAATTTCACCGGACCGCGAGAAAAAAGTACCTACCTACTTGGAAAATAGGTACGGGACGGCGGTCGTGACGCGGTAATCTTGCCGTGTGATAACGTTAATAATTGTTCGGTCATTATAATGAGTGTATTCCGGTCAAAGAAACGGAAACCGAGCACACGTGCACGGACTTTTTTTTTATTATTCAAAAGAGACCACAAAAACAAGGAAGTCGTTCGAAAAGTTTGAACATTCGATATTGCCCCTAATCTATACTGATTGTTGAGTTTGCTTAGTAAA